CGTCTCCGTTCAGAACGGGTAACGACTCCGTTGCTGACTGGTATCTTCGTCGTCGTTCCGTCGGTCACCTTCAACAGTTGTAGTGTTTCGCTTCGTGCTGCCAGAAGGCGATGGGCAGGCTATGCTCGCCGACTTTTCGCAGCCTGCTTCAGTTCCCCAACACCCTGCCTGACCCTTGGTAACCCAAGTGATGACAGAGACAGTACAATGTTTGATAATAGGCAATACCATGAGCGGCAGGTGGGTAAGTTTGATGTACGTTTCACCATGGTCTTCAACCTTCCCTCCCTCTCATCGATGCTTGGGACCGCGCACGGCAGATTTATTGCTCTATGCTGACGATTGATATTCAGTAGCTGTTTACTTGAAAACGGAAAGGTCAGATTCCCGTCAGTTTGGCATTATTCGTGACGTTGTCACCGTTGGCTAATACTTCTTGGCTGGTGTCAGGTGCGTATTTTCCTTAAGCTTGCTAAGAGAGAGGAAGAGATGCAACATTCGGGTGCCCTCTTCAGCAAAACAATAAAAGCATACGCAATAAATCAATAGAAATTTTCATAAAACCAAGGGTACAGAGTCTCACTGAACTTTGCAGTAATTTGGGCACTTTATTCGTTAGACAGTGTACTCGTGAGATTTAGGGCGGAAAAGAACGAAAGAAGCGTTTCGCAGTTGAGAATTTCACCACTTCTCAAAAATTCACATCACACATTCAGACAAAGAAACGAGAATGAAGATAGCCGGTGCAATGCCCATATGAATATATTTGCGAGTGCTAAAACTATTAATCTTTGAACTGTGTATTTAAGCTCACCGTGTATCGATGAGATATTGAACTTGTCAATAATAAGTCGAAATCCAAAAACAGTTACTACGGTCATTTATGGAGAAGGGAAAAATCATTACAATAATTCAAATTAAAGCAGGTCATGTAAACGGTAACTGACAGGCCTTCGATGCTTACTTCAACAGCTTTGGCACTGCCGGGAAGGCTGATTATGACTGTGTGTTTTCGAATTCCGCAAGCCAATCGCGAGAGAGCTGCCAAAGGTGTTGATTTCAACGACTGAACGATCAAGGCTACTTCTAATCCATTTGCCCGTCTGTGACAGACCGCTCTGACAGCCTAGATGATAAGAATAAGAAGAAAAACGGCCATCAAATTAATTCAAAACGTACCTCTGGAATTACATCTGTTACGGCGAACCCGGTTCCACCGGTAGTAATGACTACGTCGATTCCACTGCATTCCGACGACAGCTTCTTCAACGTATCCACTATTTCGTCATAGTTGTCTGGCACAACCAAATGTTTGTCAACGACGGCGGTACAGCTGAAAAAAAGTGAAAATGAATCAAGCGTCATCAAAACTTTCATTTACCTCTCATTCGATTCAAGCAGAGTTTTCAGCACCTGACCACTGACATCTACCGACTTGCCGCTGGAACACCTGTCGCTAACTGAAAGTTAGATGAATAGGCAGCAACAAAACGTTTCTATTTATAAACGACTATGTGGCAAGCATGGTGAGTAGTCCTTTGTTTCTTTCCCAGAAATGGGTACTTGTTTAAGGAAGAAAGGAGAGTGATCTGACCGGGATTCGAACCCTCGACGTCTCGGCTGCTACCGCCGACTGAGCAGTTCCGAGTCGAATACGATACAGACAAATACGCATGGTAACGTTGATGATGAAATGAAGATTCGACGACCTGAATTTCATTGAGAACACAAGTACGTCAAATCGGAAAAGCTTATCGTTATTATGATATATATTGCGACGGCTGTAGGTACGACTATTTTGGCCGGCACCCATGAAGTCGTGCATCACTAACTTTCACATCAGAAGATAACTATTCGGCTTTCCGCTTTCGACGACCTTCGTAATCAATCGATTTAGTCTCAAGGAAACCCGATACTGTTGTTATACCAGTATCAATTTTGCAACTCCTCTGACTGACACAACATGAACGATTGTAATCGTGGTAACCATAACTCTGTTAACGACTTCCTGAATCGCACCACTGGATCTTGACCACAATAAAGCAAAACAGTCATACAGAAGCTAAACATTACGTAGTACATGATAAGTTCATTATTCATGGTACGTAAACCATCAAACGGGCAAAATAGAAGGAATGACAGATTCTTTGCTCACATCTATGCAAGAAGATACGTAGCAATATGTCTATACTGTATTAGTTCTAAGTAGAAGACAGCAGAACACAGGCCAATCAAACGCAGTATGGACAATCCAGTAAGATACCCGGAAGACCAGCCCCAAACCGTAAATTTCTGAGTCGTACGGTTGACACCGAAAAACCCCTTTTCGACCGAATGATCAATATCCGAATAACGTAAAAGGGAAGGAACACGTAATCCTGGTTAATGATTCAGCTTTCAATTTTAGTTGGCATAAGATTATTGGAACCGCGAGCATGCACAAGTAATAACAATATCAAAAATCTAAAAAACTATCACAAAATATGCCAGACTATAAAAATGGCGATAGATTTCACAGGCACTGAATCGATAAATGCAAATAAAAAATTCTGACCACCTGTTTAAATAAAAAATACATTAAATATGCTTTTTTATGGTTACACATCTTTAGGGTAAACTTACCAGTTACAACTACTGCATGAATAGGCTCTGTCAAAGACGACATCGAAATACACTTGATCGTCAGGAAACGATCAGGCGCTACTTTCCTACCACGTTTGTAAGTGGAAAAACCATCTGATATGTGGATATGCGATCAAAGGCCAATCAAGTACTTGTATTCTCTTAACCGAATTACAGTAAAATTAGTACGGTCCAATGACTCACACTGTGTCTGCGAGACATTGACAGCCTTGAAAACGGAATACCTTGGAATATGGTGAATACATACGTTAGCACCTTTCGCTCTCTTACAAAATTTTTTGTTCTAGATACTTTGAGGAAAAACAGTTTCCTTTACTTTTGATCAAGAGGAAGATCAGCTGCGCATAATGGCATTGAATTCAATTCATGCTGAGAATTATATTGCTGTAAAGTGCATAGAACGACTTTATGCCCTTCGGGGTAAGTGGAGGTTAAAAAATGCTCTGACCCTGACAAAAGATTCGAATATAGACTTTTCAGTCTAAGCCGCGAACTTCCCACGTTAGAATCGGAATAACAATCTTCGATCGCCAGAAAAGCATAGTGGATTGATGGCCAAGATACGAGCGAATGTTTTGGTACATGAACTATACTTGTTGACTAGCGTAATGGAGAAAGTAAACCGCAACCAGAGTTCTATGGAATTTTCGAAACTTGAGAAACCTTACAATGTACGAACTGGGTGCGCTTTCAGATAAGCTGTATCACTGATGGTCGAGAAAACACATGGGAAAATTTGAATAGGTGGCACTGAGGGGAAATACGCGGTTAGATGCATGGAATAAATATTTTGACCATGCCATTATCCTCAAAATCGACAAGAACCACCCGAAACACTAAAACAGCATCCACGACAAGATCGAGTTCACTCACGAATTCGAAGAAAACAAAAATCTTCCATTTCTGGACGCCGCAATTGATAAGAAAGGAGATACCGTCAAAACAACTGTCTATAGGAAGTCTACCAACGGCAAAAGGTATGTTAACCATGAGTCCACTTGTCAATATGAACAGAAGCTGGATTGATGCGAACTCCGTAACTGGAAAACGCAGATATAGTCGAATTCAACCGCATTCATGGAACAAAATAGAGACCGCTCAACGAATTGAGACAATAGTTATCGGGAACTTTTCAGTCTCCAGCAGTTTTGAAAGCTAGACATAAAGTTGAACGAATCAATCATAAATTTCTCGCCTACGTATTGATGGAATTTCAAGAAGTCCTTTATTGATGATTCCCTTATG